GTGGAGAAAATTTTCTCCACAACCATCACTATTATCAATTAATCCCTGGCCTACAGCTTGATTTAACATCCCTAGTTTGAAACTTTCTCCAAGCCATGGCTTTTCACACCTCTGGTTCCAAAGCTACACATTCCAGCTATCAGTGTCTTTTGATACTGACATCCAACGAGTCCCTTTTCATGTATTCACCACTTGATTCATGCTCGCCACTTAATAAGTCAAATACCCCAGACAGAAGACCATTTCTTCCACACCCGTTGCTATCAGACCCTTAAATGTCGATCATCTGCCTACCTATCATTGTGGGAATGGTCCCTTCACATTTTTATTGAAGATAATTTAGGGGGACAAAAAGTCCCCATCTGAATAATTTTCCACTAATACTGGCGAGGCCGGGAATGGAGGGGGCAGACACGTATTACAGGAATGACCCATGAAGGTCAGAGAAGTACATGACAAGTGGGAGAGAAGGATTACAACATTAACAAAAACAACAAGGTTCAACTACCGGCACAACCTATTAATCGGAGCGAGTGTAAGCATTACTTCCTGAGCTATGTCAGCACCAAAGGCAGACTCTAAAGAACTCTCAAACCACATGCAGTTCTAAGGTATTGAGTGGGATCCGACAGACAATAGCCAGGAAGTTATAAGGCATTGAGTCAGAGCCAATAGGTAGCAGCCGTGAGTTGCATCGCCTAAGAAAGCATCTAGGGTCTAACCGACGCCCACCTACACCATTTGGGGGAAGGAAGCCTCAAAGGGGGTGGATCGTCAGGCGGAGAATGTGGAGATATAGAGGAGGAGATCAAGGTCCCCATGACCCAACATATGATGAGGTGAAGTACTCAAGTGAGCCAGAGAACAATACAGCATGACATTGATGGTGAGCACCTAGCAGCAAGCAGTGTGTGCAAAACCCAAGGGGTAGGAGGGTAGTCGCACCAATAACATGATGGGGTGGGAGAGCAACCGGAGAGAGCACAAGGTCGTCCCGGGCACAGACAGAAGCAGACGTTTTTGTATCGATGCTTCCAAGAAGGGAAGTGACGTCCACGGATGCCACCATCGATGACTGGAGCACCAGGCTTGTAAGGGCTTTTGCCCCTAGACCTGCCTAGCTGATGTAGCAAGCTCGGAATGGCTTTCGCGATGGCAGGAGCTGAAATCTACAATGATGCCCCCAGGGAGGGATATGCTGCCATATGCGCTATCGTCGCTGGCGTAGTGTAACCAGGTAGGGTTTTAACCTAGGTTCCACACGCCTATGGAAGCCCACATAGAGCGCGATCTGACAAGACGAACTTGCTATCGATGAGAAGGAGCCCGCAACCACTTCGGCTAGCCATCGCCAGACCAGACCGCCCGACAGCTAGTGCCCTAGCGCGAAAATGAATTGACCAAAGGACTCGAGCTACAGCGGCTGACGCGCAGCGTGAAGACCTTGGAGTAGTTGTGGAAGCCGGTGTCCATGCCCAAATCGCATCTAGCCCTTCCCCCAGCGTAAACTGGACCTTGCCGGCCCCGAAGGAGACCTAGGTGGTGCCGTGGCCTAGTGGCTAGGAAACCAGACTGTCATCGTCAGATCCGGGGCCAGGGGCATGTATCTGGCAAGTCTCCGGCCCCCGTGCTCACCGCCGCCATCCTTGCTGTCGTTGTGCTTGACTTGAACATGGGAAAAGGAGGAGAGGAGATAAGGAAGGAGGTGGAAAGTGCTACAGAGGGAGGCCTTGTTGGGCGCCACCGCTTGGAGCGCGCGGCGGTGGCCGGATAGCAAGCGTGGTGGGAGGAACTGGCGATGGTGACTAGGTCGCCCCGAGTCACCCTACAGAGACGACACAGGGGGGGGTCCCTTCACATTAATGACCTTTGTACCTGATTTTGCTGCCAAATTATTGGGTATTCCTACCACAACCCCTCTATGTTTGTGAAAAGAATTGCTCCAATACTCCTTTTTCTAAAAATGGTACAGATCTCAAAAGCAGCTCATCTGATTAAATATTTTTTCTTAAATTTTTTCTTTTGGGTCTCGCATGGGCTGGTCCATCCAACCCAGCCATAGTCCAGCCTTGACCCAAAGCTAATGTAGCTCTCCCGGGACCCTTTTTGTTCGGTGCCGTTCCCTTTTTGCTCGGTGTTGTTCCATTAACTCGTTGAAGGAGACGGCATGTTCCAGGCCTTCGGCTCAGCTCCGGTCTGAGTCGTCCGTACCATCATAGTCTCGTGGAGGCCATTGCCAAGCACGGCGGCGGAGTGCAACACAAACTTGATCATGACCAAAATCAATATGAATTTTTTCAGAGGATTACATGCTTGCAATGATGCCTTCAGGCTTCAACGCCTTGTCTATATGATTTGTTGGTGAAAATATAATCTCCTCAATCAATTTCATTTGAAATATGCATAGCCGGTGGACTTCCATGTTCCATCACACGAAACAGAACGGCGCCACCGGACCTTCTGTCCAGGAACCGAATGGCACCCCCGTCGTGGAGGGGATGGAGGTGGCAACGGGATTGGAAGGAGGGAACCGGAAGTGTTGCGGTTGGCTCCAATTATCCTCTACTGCTGGTCGATCCGCAGGCTGCCGCTGCTCGGGATTGCCCAACGGCCGACGCCATCTCCTTCAACGAGTTAATAGAACGACGCCATACAAAGGGGATCTGGGGTAGCTGGCTTGGCAAGATCAGTACTGGACTCAGGCTGGTTTGGATGGGCCGGGTTGGGCCACGCTGGACCCAAGAGGAAAACAATTTAGAACAAATAATTAATTGGATTGGTTGCTTTGAGATATGTGCACTTTTTTAAAAAGAGGAGTATTGGAGCAGTTCTCATTTGTGAATTGTGTCACCATTTTTTTCTCCCACGTCTTGGGCCACTCTATCATCATCTTATCAAATTCTCACCATATTTTACTCCATAGTTCAAATATAACATCCAGAATATATCTCTCTGTACCCAGGAAAGCTGTCCACAGTTTTCATGCAATTTGGTTGAGGTGGATTTTTGCATCCACTTAGTTAATCTTTCCTTCATATCCAAGTCCACATTTTTTGCGAAATAAGTTCACATATCCAATATCTTAAGCATACTGCTATATTTTTTTCGTAGCAGGAAGGAGTGCTACAGATGCTTTAATCCCAATGGCGGAGATGGTCGTTGTGCAGTTATCAAGCAGTATGAGGAGAAAGAGGAAAGAAATTCAATCAGAAACTTAGAGAGGCTAGAGATCGCACACGTCAGATTGGAAGCTGCTCTTGAGACTTCTAATAAATGGCGGATCACTGATACATCCATGTTGCGTTGGCAAAAGAAGCTGAAGCATGCTGCGCAACACTGATGAAAAACTGCACAAATGCAAGCATAACTTTATTATAAATAAAGCTTCCCTAAAAAAACGTTTTGTTCCCCCAACATTTAATCCTTTACCTGCAGTTTCATGCATCCTATGTAGTGTATTTCTTTTTTGTAACAACAATCTATTAAGCCAAAACTACGCACAACCTCAAGCAATCTGGACCGGGTAAACATTGTCCACCCTGGATCTTCCACACTCCTCACTGTCATCGATTAAACCCTGGTGCACAGTTTGATTTAATTTTAACATCCCAAGTGTGACATCCATAAGTCTATAGAGATTTGTATATTTGCTTTATCAACAACAAATTGCCAGCAAAGGAAGTGGCACTTTCAAGGTGTCAATCATCATTCATGTGGTGAAGATGGAGACTTTTCTGACTTTTGAGGTCCTTATGAAATGCTACATTGATGAAAGGTGTCGATGTCACTTTCCTCTCTAATCAGACAGTTATAGGACTACCCTCCTAATAATTTCTCACGCAACTTAGGCCCTGTTTGGATACAATTTTTTTAGTTTTGGAAAAATACTACAGTTTTCAAAATAATTTGGTTTTGGAAAACAATGATGCAATTGGATGCAACAAATCCTAGCTTTATTTTTTGAATCTATTGTATTACAACACTAACATGTTTTTGGAAATTTAAAAAACTCCATGCTGGGTTGTTTTCTAAGCCGCGGTGTTTCATACCTCCGGTTTCTAAAGCAACACTATCATGATATCTGTTTCTGTATTTTGTGGAAAAACAATTACTGTATACGTAGCCTGCCATATACAGATACATATACTAGTTCTATATATAGTGCCCAACGTTCAATCCCTCGACTGCAGTTTGATGCATTGTAGTCCTTTTTCCTAACAACAATCTGTTTAGCCAAATTACACAGCATCAAGCAACTAGGACTGGGTAAGCATTATGCCCTTGTGGAACAATTTTTCCACAGCCCTCACTATAATCAATTAATCCCTGTCCTGCAGTTTGATTTAAAATTCCTAGTCTGACCTTTTTTTCTCCAAGCCATGGTTTTTTCACACCTCTGGTTTCTAAAGCTACAATTTCTGGCGTTCAGTGTCTTTTGAAACTATGACATCCAAAGGGGCCCTCTTTATGTTTTGACCACTTGATTCATGCTCGCCAACTATGTTGGAATACATAATTTCTTCAAATAATCCTTCTCGAGTTCTACCCCTGTGAAGACCATTTCTTCCATATACACCTTGCTATCGGACCCATAAATGTCGATGTTGTGTCTACGATCTATCATTGCGGGAATGGTCACCTCATGTTAATGACCTGTCTACCTCTTTTTGGTACCAAATTATCAGGAATTTCTATAAGAACCCCTCTATGTTTGTGAACTGTGTGCCTCTTTTTGTTTCTCCAACGGCTTGGCCACTCTATTATCTTCTAAAGTTCTCACCATATTTTACTCCACAGTTCAAATATAACATCCAGAATCTCTCTCTTTGTACCCAGGAAAGCTGTCCACAGTTTTCATGCAATTTGGTAGAGGTAGATTCTTGCATCCCACTTACCTAATCTTTGCTTCATATCCATGTTCACATATCTAATCTCTTATGCAAACTGCTATATATATTTTTTCTTACCAGGGAAGGAGTGCTACAGAAGCTTGAATCCCAATGGCGGAGATGGTCAGTTCTGTGGTTATCCAGGAGTCATTTAGCCAAATATTATCTGGCCTTGTTAAAAAATATGAGGACAAAGAGGAAACAAATGGAATCAGAAACATAGAGAGGCTAGAGATGGCACACATCAGGCTGGAAGCTGCTCTTGAGACGTCAAATAAATGGCAGATCACTGATACATCCGTGTTGCGTTGGCAAAAGAAGCTGAAGCGTGCTGCACAAGAGTGTGATGAGAAACTGCACAAATGTAAGCAGAGAATTCTCGAAGAAGAACGTATGGAACAGGAGGTAAGGAATTCCTCCATTCCTAAACGGATTGGACATGCTACCAAGTCATTTGTTTTCTCCATCTTTAACCGCAACAACGAGGAGTTGAACCCATCTGTCGTTAAACGATTTGAGTGGTATGCAGATGGTGCTAGTGAATTCCTGAGATTCATTGAGCTTGGCGGCACACCACTATGTCACATCATGCCCTTTGGCTCCCTTATCAATAATCTTTTTGCAGGCAAGCAACTTCACCATAAAATTGTTCGTGGAAGCCAACAGCCTTTGTGTGAACTATGGTTGATCCCCTTTAGTACTGCAGAGCAAGGAACAGAGGTTGACATAATATTTATCAAGAAAGATGGTACAACAGAGGGAAATATCTACTTTAGTATAATAGTGCAGCTTTCAGAGAGTACAGACATAGTTGGGATTGCAGTTAGGAGTTTGCAGTTGTTTGCCCCTCATGTCAAATTTATAGTTGAAAATATTACCAGCGAACTTACTCAACTACCTACTCAAGACCTCTCATGGACGCCATTTGCTTATTCAAACCACAGGGAACATTTTTACAATCTTCACAACATTGGATCTCAATGGTTTCGCCCGAAACCATTATGTTGCAAGCAGCAGCAACACCATGAGGTTCCACATTTTAGCAACCTAAACATGGCAGGATTATCAGATGTTTCATTAGAACCAGTAGTTGTATTTAATTTGCAGTGGCAAGTCTCACATTCAGTTTACAGCAAGCGAAAGACCTCACTGTCTGAAGGCACAATGTCTCTGCAAAATTCTCCATATCTGAAAGCTGGAATTGTTTTTGCACCCCATGGCTCTTCTGAAGACATGCTACCACTGAATAAAAGTTCTGAAACAGTAGAGATAGTTGGTGGTCAGCAACATGTCTTGCATACGGACATCTCCTTGGAGCAATTGGAAGAGATTATGCTAGCAAAGGCCATAGATTACTTCTGCCACAATGATGAAGCGTCCGTATACCAAATGATTTGGAGGTCTAAACATGGGGATGCACGGATTCATGTTGAGAAGCCAAGCATAAACACACGGAGAACAAGCATGAGAGCGCGGAGAACTTTTGGGGGGCCTACAAATAGAAAGCTGCTTCGAGGACAGGATCAGAAGATTGGGATTGGGGACTATCTAGGTGTGATCACTCACTTCATCAAGTTATGGGGTGACCATGTGCCCATCCATCTGAAAAGTTCTCAAATGGACTGGTTGCGGAAAGAAAAGGAAACTCAGTTACCAGAAAGAAAAGCAAAACCTGTGAGAAACATATAAGCATAGATATCCTCGAGGTAGAGTCTTAGTGTTAAATGCTCCAAATGCAAAAGCAAGAGGAGCGAAGCTATGAATAACATAAAGAATCTTAATTTTACATTCCAATAGTCTTTATTGTTTATGTACTTGTAAGGAAGTAATGAAGTATGTATGTTCTACATCAGGAACTTATGCAACTGTGTCTTAGTTTAGTTGTCTCACTGTCTCTTATATTGATATTGTTTGTATGTCATCAGCTGAGATATGCTGGGAATTACTCAATTACATTGGAATCAAGATGGAGTGGATTTAGTGGAAGGAGAAAATATATAGTTAACTTCGTGCACTGCATCTGTGTTTCTTTATTGCTATGTCTGTCTTTCCTTTCCTTTTGTTTTTGTTGTCTAGTTTCCTTTTTCTTTGTTGGTTGTGCATGCTGAAATTGTTATGCTTTGAGGCTCCCTTCCCCTTCTACCATAATAATAATAATGTATACTGCACTACATAACCAATTTTAGGAGACCAAAACTACCATCTCTAGAGTTCACTAGAGACTTCATGCCCAACAACTGCCTTTGTATATCTATTTATAGAGGCGGATGGGTAAGCAAGAATGCCCCAAAAATCGGCCCATTCTCTGAGGTGGACTTCCTTACCCCACCGTCACTTTAAATATGAGAAAATCCACAACCTGCTCATCCCAGTCGCGTTAAACCTAGGCTAGGGTTCCACCAACGGCACCCCTACTCTGTTCTCTCTACCATTTCTATTTGTCTTCATCAAAGCCAGCGGTGACCCACCTCCGACCCTCTCCTTCCTCACTCATTTCCCTCCTTCACCTTGCACACCCCCTTCCCTTATGTCTTAGCATCGAGCCATGTGGACTGGGTAAACATGATTTATCCTTGTCCAGACCTTCCACACCCCTCATTATCAACAATTCATCCCTGGCCTGTAGCTTGATTTCATTTTAATATGCCTAGCCTAGCCTAGTCCAATTAGCACATGCCATAAGTTTACTACAGAGACTAGTATATTTGCTTTATCATCAACAAATTGTCAGCAAAGGAAGTGGCACTTTCAAGGTGTAATCTTTCATGTTGTGAAGATGGAGACTTTTCTGACTTCTGAGTTCCTTGTGAAATGCTACTTTGACGAAAGGAGTACCCTATGATACTTGCTGTGGATATGGAGGGAAACACATGGAGGAAAATTGATGGGCCTAGTGGTCTTCAACACTCCATGCATCAAGCTCAGGGTCACTTGTGTGTATGTACTATTGGTGGTCCCAATGATTCCAAGCTTTCAATCTAGATCCTTGAAGACTATGGTACTGATAATTAGACATTGAAGCATACGGTCACCACACGGATCCTATTTGGAAGGACTAATATTAGATTTGGTTTCCTAGATTTTGTTGACGAGGACATAGTGATTATAGTTCACCCAGAGTGGATATGGAGGAGAACACATGGAGGAAAATTAATAGGCCTAGTGGTCTTCAACACTCCATGCATCAAGTTCAGGGTCACTTGTGTGTATGTACTATTGGTGGTCCCAATGATTCCAAGCTTTCAATCTGGATCCTTGAAGACTATGGTACTGATAATTGGACATTGAAGCATATGGCCACCACATGAATCATGTTTGGAAGGATTAATATTAGATTTGGTTTCCTAGATTTTGTTGACGAGGACATAGTGATTATAGTTCACCCATAATGGAATTTGATTTTCTTTGCTGGGGAGGATGGAAAAATCATCGCATATAACATAGACCGCATAAGTGTTTGTGTCATCCCTGCCCATGTCTTTCGGTATGGTACACGTACCGTTAAAAAAGAGTTCATCTGTAGACCATTCTATCTTCCTTATGTTCCTTCCTTATGTTTCCTTGTTCTTGGATTCATTAGCATAGCAGTAAATAAAGCTGCATTTGATGTATCTCTCTGTCATGCTTTTTAAATGGACCAATGTTGTTTGCTTGTCTATGGACATGTTAATTTCCTCAATGATGGGTGTTATCATTATTTTAGCTAAACTAGTGTGTCATCTTTATTTTGTTTGCAAATTGAATTATATGTTTGGTATGCACATGTGTTACAGTGGTGTTATAGCTCCCATTGCCATTTCATCCGTTAATTCAACTGTAGCTCCCATTGTCGGACTTTCTTACGTGTGCAATAACAGTTCAACACCAATGGCGCCTCTGCTCTGCATTACACTGAGGCGAGACTTGCTCCTCACTACAAGGTTCTTGCAAGTTCAACAAAGACTAACAAAGACACCAAGGCAACAAAAAACAAATAGAAACCAAACGGCCTGAGCTACAACATACTCAACAGATTGTAAGTGCAAGACTTGCTCCTAGTGCTAAAATTGTAATGGTTGTCACATGTACCTTCTTCAGATTTGTTTTCTTTAGGGAGCCACATAGGTATTCAAGTTTACTGCACACGCAAGAAAGTCCTAGCATCGTAAATCTGACTAGGCCGGACACATCTCACGTTATACATGGAAACCTTTTTCGTATGAGTACTTTCGTTGAATCCCTAAAGGAAACAAATAAAATTGAAACAAAACAACAGAAAAGCAAAAGCAAAAACAATATTCTAGACTTGTTCAAATGAACTCCTTGCTGCATGGTTCTTTCAAGTTCATCAAATTTTATCAAAGACACGAGTTGGCTTCAACAGAGATCAAAGGCACTCATGAATGTTTAGCATATTATAGATCAGATCAAAGACAACTAGAAAGAAATCTACAGCGAAAAGCAACCAACAGGGGCGACAAACCAGCTACAAAATGACCAACGGACCTGAGCTACACCACGCTCAATAGAGTTTAACCCACCTAAGGCCTTTGTTTGGATGCGTATGTATTCATCTCAATCCACATGTGTTGAAGTGGATTGGAGTGGAATTAAACTAAATTCCATTCCATTCACTCCAACACATGTGGATTGAAGTGGATACACATGCATCCAAACAAGGATGTCCATGTATTTGTCTCAATCCACATGTGTTGAAGTGGATTGGAGTGGAATTAAACTAAATTCCATTCCATTCCACTCCAACACATGTGGATTGGTGTGGATACATATGCATCCAAATAAGGCCTGATACAAAGATCAACAAAAGTTAACACCACCAAGCAAATAAGAGTTCACATATTTTGCAAGGGCGTCCCGCAGATCAAACTTATTCATGACTACTAATACTACTAATATGTCCCACAGATCAAGGTTTGAGGTTGGTATTACCTTACAGATGTCTATCAATAAATTCACACAAGCTATTTGATATCCATGTTACTTTTCTAACAATCTGCATGTATGAAAACTTTGTAGTACCATTGCCGAGAAGTGCGAGGAAGCCGAGGCCTCAAAATCGTGGAATTTTTCTTGACAAAATGAGCAAATCAATGGGAGGATTGAGGATGCCCATCTCTGTTGTCGAGGGGAACAGAAGGCCACATGATCTAGTTCAAGCTGCCAAGTTTTCCTCAGAGGTAGGTGTACTAGCCAGACATTAAATACCAATTTTGAGGCATTGGAAACATTGCAAGAAGCCCTCCGGTGTCGTCCATTATAGGAATTTTGTGGATAGGCTAACTGTATGTATGGGTATCCTCTCTTGACATTCAACTCTACTTTGAGCAACTTTAACGGGTTTACTTTTCATTCACACTACTATGTGGAGTCAAGGATGGACATTGACAAGGCTCACCCACCAACAAAAGAAGCTTGCTAGAATGTATTGTAGTCTAGGGTACGGCAGGCACGCTATAGGTTAAAGCAAACCTACTTCAATGGCATCCCTGATGATCAGATCCCTATGACCTCTCCTGTCCCATCCATGACTAATGCACAGTGGTGTGAACTTGTCGAGACTTGGTCTAGTGCTAAGAACAAGGTGTGTGTGAACCCATCAATTTCCTGTCTAGTCTTGCTATGGTCTACTTATACTGCAGTATAACACAAATGAAGCTATAGGAAACATCTGAGATGAACAAGCAAAACCATGCAAAAGTGAAGTACCCATCAGTCTACAGGATCTCGCTCCTAGTTGTTGTCCAGCTGCAAACATTTATAAGTGATGGTTGTATTTTTATTGTTACTCTTGCCTTTGTATAAATATAAGCAGAAACTCATGTGCAATGTGAACAAAAGGAGAACAAGAGGAAGACCGCAGAACACGATCAAGGACTTGATGAACAACATGATGATCTAGGACTTGAACAACATGGTTGACCTGATGAAGATGTTAATGATGTGGAAGTCTTCAAGGACTTCCATACCAGTACAAAAAGGGCCCGAGCGATGCTGCAAGAGCAGCAGTTATAAGTACCCTCATTTGCTTTCTTTGAAATCTACTGAACCCTTTGCCATAAAAGAAGGAAACGCAGCAGGAGCCTAATGTGGCAACATCATTTAATTTTGTAGTTGCAATTTTACACCAATTAATATGGTACCTATACATTGTGCTTATGTAATCTCTATCGATAGTAGGCTGCAAAAGACCTATGCATTGTGCTTATGTAATCCCTATCAGTAGTAGGCTAAGGAAGTCGTATGCATTACTTGTTATGAATTAATCTCTTGGGTTTTCAATCGAAGTCCTCTTCCACTATCTGTAACCTAATGTTTTACTAATTGTATTTTGAAGGAAGCCCATGTGACCGGTTCACCTTTGCATCCACATCGCCATCCCCTGTGCATCATCGACTATGTTGCGCAATCTTCATTGCGCCATCTGTCTACACAAGGTCTTTGTCCTGCTAATTGGATCTTTGTCATCGAGCTGCCACTACCCGCACTGGTGTTGAGGCTTGCTCGTCGTCCGCACCCTCGTGTCGTTGCTGAGCCCTACTCGACGACACGTTTGCTACACAGCTTCATCTAGCACAGCCACATCATTTGCGTCACCATCTTGTCCCTCAGACGCTGATGCATGGTTGGGGCCCTCTACCTTGTACTCCCGGTATTGGCAACACCGACACGTTCTTTCATCCCCAACTCGT